TTTTATAAAATAGATAAGCACGGAGTTCTATAAAAATTATGTCCGAAAAGAAACATTCATACCCAAAAGAGAATAGCAAATACTTATTTTAATCAGAGGAAGAAAAATGACAATCTAGTGTCTGGTGATGGTAACATCGAATATAAAGAGTGTTTGTTTGTTTGTTTCTTGGGACCAAATATCTTGTACACATTCTAAAGAGAGTAGGGGGCGTTTGGATTCAAATGCTTCAGAAATATAAAGGTAGTGTTTAAGTTTGAGTAAGAAATGGTACTGAAAGAAGTTTGAAACCTACCCACGAAATAGTATTTTCGAGTTTGGAAATTTTTTTTGGTGGTGGGGCTTGTTTGTTTGGTTTGGTCAAATTGTTGAGGTAAGAATTAGAAAGAATAAATCCAGATCTAAACTTAACTGTTCGTGCGCAAGAAATATACAGGTTTTTTTTCAATGGATGGCACTGTAGCTCTCCGGTCCGTCAAAATCTTTTTTCGGACAGCTACAGTTCTGCAGCTAATTTAAAAGCAGTCCAATGATCTTGGCTATTCAAATGCAATAGAATTTTTTTTTAATGTTTTGTGTTGTATCTCTAACAAATCAGTTCTAGCTGACTTGAATCTGAAAGCATGAAACTGTTCCTATACTTCCCGTGAGATCTTTCAGATAACAATGTTCAACTCCCATGAGTACTTTCAGTACTTTGATTTTCAAAGTGCCTTAATATCGACCATATTAACGCACTTTGAAACAAAAATGTAAAGATTGATCAATAGTCCTTCATATAATCGGTATGATAAATAACAGATCCTGGTTTGATAACTTTTTTATGATAAAGTCACTGTAGGACCTGAGATAGGACGTTTTAAATATTTAAGGTAAAATAAAAGGGAAAATTTAAGGGTCTTGAAAAAAGAGTAACGATTGTTTAAGTTCATTTATTCGTTTCTTCTTTTTTTTTTAATTCTAGTCTTTGATAAGTAGATGTAAAGGTGTAAAGGGGCACTAACAGAGGACAGCTTCAAGCAACTTAGCATTTATCATAATAAAAAAGGGGCCAAATTGATTGTTCAAAACTATGAAAATTCTTTCTCTCTCATACGTTTTACTGTACTTAAAAATTTCTAGTTTTCATCTGTGTTAATTAACTCATTTATTATTGAAAGTTTTCAACGTCATACCAGTTAGGTAAATACATAATTATATGAATGCTTTGAGTATAGCATAGACATCGAGACTGGGCGAAGGACCAGGGGAGGGGATGAGGGTTAAACCCCCCACTTATTTTGGAAAGATATATACACCGTATAAGCATTGAAAATGCAGCGTACCCTTTTTAGGTTTATTGCTCCCCTCCCCCGTTTGTTACCGACACCTATGTATTGGAAAGAAAAAGATTTGGACTGAGGGATCTTATACCCGTCTTCTCCTCTTTTCGACGGGAGTAAATCAATTCATTTTTGAGGTTAGGGTTAGGCTTAGTTTTTTGAAAGATAAACAACAAATGAAATCTTTCCATGACTAAAATATGATTTTTTTTTTCAAAGTGCGTTAAGTATCTCCATGGTAAAATATATTGATGTAGACTCAACGCACTTTGAAAAAAATTTTCAAAGTGCGTTGAGTCGGTCCCAAATTTAACGCACTTTGAAAAAAATTTTCAAAGTGCGTTGATTTTGTCCCAATTTTAACGCACTTTGAAAATTTTTTTCAAAGTGCGTAATTTTTTCAAAGTGCGTTGCCACAGTGCTTGTATCTTTTTTATTAGGAGTTTTTAAGAAGTTTAGGTTTTCTTAAGTTGTAACTAGACGGTTGTAATTGATTCTTTCTTGATTGATACCCAAGGCAGGGATACTTATGAATAATATGGATCTAATTAGTGATTAGAAAATTTGGCATTTTTTCATTTTTAAACAAAGTAAGCGTTAAGAACTCAATTACACATTACACAACGAACGGCTATTTTAAAGTACATTTTTGAAATTTCTTTGCAGAAGCATATACATTCAATTATTTACACGCATTTTATGAAGACAAAAGACTTCCTACAATTTCAATCATTATAATAATTGATCGTTTTAGTGAAGGAAGGGAGATGGTTAAAATGATGTTTGTTCCGTTGCCGTGAAAGTAAGCTATGTTTTTAATAGTTAACCAATTGTAAGGAAATATATCCGATTTAAGTTTTAAAAATGAATAATGGATACCTTAACAATAATTAAATTATTAACAACTTGTTTACCCTTGATATTTTTAACCGATCAATTACATAAATTAGATATGATTAAAAGAAGGCGCTCATACTTCATATACCTTGTACTTAAAAAAAAAACAATGAAGAAGTATGACCTTAAAGGGCTCAAGGGATGGTTAGGTCCGATTGTCTGGAGTAGAAGTAAGGACAGGGCGGTAATGGTCAGCAGCAAAGGCAGTAGAAGAGGCGGAGAGCAGATTGAGACACAATTACTTTGTAGGAACGGCAGAGGAGGAAGGGCAATTTAAGGTCTACACTCTAAAAAAAGTTTTACTTGTTGCTTTTAAAATAAGATATTAGATTAAGAAAAACTAGTAATTTTTAGTAATCCATTTAGTCAGAATAGCAAGTAAATGACTATCATTGTTAGTAATTGTAAACATAATTAGTAATAAGGATGAATTCATTTACTTATAAAATGATTTACTAAGTATAAATACTTAATAGGAATTATATATTACTTAGTAAATGAACTACTCATTTTTACTATTTTTAGTAAATCATTATTACTTAATTTAGAGATAATACTCTTTCTATTTACTAGGTTTTATGAATTATTACTAAGTAAATGTAATTCTGGAATTAATAGATATCAAGAATACTATTACTTTGGAGGATACTAAGTAAATGAAATGCTTATCATATTTACTAAAATCGATATTATTTCTTTGTAATTGTTTTATTATATTTAGCAATAAAACATTTAATTCCAACATCAAAAGCCTTCTAAATTGAATAATTTGTATATTTCTAAGGACCATTTTAAAAATAGTTTACACTTTCAAGTACTTAATACAGCATTTTAATTAGTATAACTTTTTTTTTACATGAAGAAATATTTAGATAAAAGATAACTCCTCCTTACAGACAATTAATATGACAATTTAAGAATTCAATCCTGGCAGTAATTAGACTACCATTTTTTAGTAATTATTGGTATTGCAACTGCTTGATTCAGTAAATAAATTATTGTTTTAAGTAAATCAATTGAATACAATTTAAACAAGATGTGTTTGTGAAACACTAATCCCCCCAGCAAAGGTTTCACTTTTCTTAAATGCAAATTCAATATATTGGTATTTCTTGATATCTCAAAGGTCAAGATCAAATGGTCAACGTTATTGGTATCTAATAAAAGGTCTTGCCGCAAAAAATACATATCTGAAATATGAAAGCACTAGCCCCAACCCTTCAGAAATTATGATCAAGTTTACCAACTTATTATATATATATAGTAATTAGACTACCAGATTTAAGTAATTTGTTCTGCAGCTGCCCTGAATCCTCCTAGATGCAGTAAATAATTTATTGTTTTAAGTAAAACAATTAAACATAGAAATTTAAAAATATTTTAGTAATAGCTAGTAATTAGTGGTAAACTGTAAGTAAAAACCAAGTAATATGTTATTACTTACATACACAAATTTAAGTAAATATAAATTACTAAGTAAAACTTTTTTTAGAGTGTAATGGTATCCAAAGACTAGCAAAAGGAAAGACGTATCATGGTGCAGAAAGAAATCTGAGCCAGAGAGGAAGAAAACTGACAAGCTAAGGCAGTGGAGATGGGAGTCCAGGGTGCTTAAACAAGGTGGAAATAGACCAATGGACACTATCCTGGGCAGACATCGGGAAATACTAAAAACAACAGCCAATTTCCGCAGATGGGATCTCTTAGAAACACCAAAGGGCTCATTCTATCCTCCTTCAAGGTGGCATTATCGGAGGGAAGATACACACATGACGTTATATTGAGGTTATAAAAGAAATGACAGGCACAATAGTGGAAGAGTGGAAGAATAAAAGCAAACAGACAACAGTGGAACATATACAAATTATATGCTTAGAAAGAAGATAGGTGAAACGGCGAAGAAGAGAGAAGATCTAAGGAATACTTAAAAGGCAGACGATTGGAAGCTGGCTGTATGTCTAGGTCAGAAACTGAAATTCCCAGAGATAATTCCAACTAATCTCAGGCCTGATATGGTTCTGGGGTCATCAAATAGAAATAAGATAATTGTCATAGAGCTGACAGTTTTATGGGAAGAAAGATACAATGAAGCCCATGAAAGGAAGAAGGCAAAATATTACTCATAGCTTGTAGAATGTAAGGAGAAATTAATGACGATAGACCTGGAGCTATCTAGTAGAGGTTGGATATAAAGGTTTCCCGGCACAGTCAGCTTGGAGGATGTTTTCTGGTCTAGGGGTGACGGGTAGAAGCAGCAGTCCAAAAATGATCAGAAAGATCATCAAGCTGGGTTTAGGTAAAGAGAGAGAAACAGAGATTAGAAGCTGGATACCCAATATCAACGCGCAGTGATTTTCATCATCACTGTGGAATCCCTCTCCCCATCCTGAAAGTTTATCGAGCTAGGGGGTCGAAACACACAATGAGGGATGGCCTCGGCTGAGGACGTCGTAGGTACAGCAGCAGTATCATCACATCTGTATGTAAGTAACTTTTTAAAAAATCAACATATACCATAGGTAATTCAGTTTTGTAATTCTACTTACTACCACAGGAGTCTGAAGTTTTTATCGTCAAAAAAAAAAAAAAAAAAAAAAAAAAAAAAAAAAAAAAAAAATACGGAAAAAAAATTTCCTACCCTTAACTAATTTTTAGTTAAGGGTAGCAAATTTTTTTTTCCGTTTTTTGTTTTTTTTTTTTTTTTTTTTTTTTTTTGACGATTAAAACTTCAGACTCCTGTGTTACTACTTACGAATATTATACCAAATATGCTTTTATCAGCAGTGCAAACAAGATACGCGTTTTTAAAATTATAAAATTCATTTTTGCGAAATATTTTTATGTACACAATAAAATACAACAGAGACATATAAGATTTTCTTTTCTCATATGTCTCTGGATACAGCAATAAAGAAAAAAATACACATATTCAGGGCATCTTTTTGTTCCTAACGGTCCAAGACATTCAAATTAAATGTAAAAAATTATTTTCCAGAAAGTAAAAACCCAGAGAAGCTGTTTCCACTAAACTGAATATCAACTATTTGGTCATTTTTGGGATGTGACTTAATGCACACCCGGTCATTTTTCTGCAATGAGAGAGTCGCCATGTTGCTTCCGGTGTCGAAGTGTTCGATATTTAGTCCCGCCAGGGCTTCAGCCTTTTTATCATCATTGACATATAAATAGATACCCAGTCTTTTATTAGGTCGTACTTGTACAGAGAAGTAAAAGGCGTATTTTCCAGCCATTGGTGCTGTGAATATTCCTGTTTCAGAATTATATCCGTCCCCTTCGTTGTTTAGTACCTTCTTTAAGATAATTATCTCCCTTTCTTTTGTGATTGTTTGACGAATACTGCTGTCTGCAGTTGCAGAAAAAGCTACAACTTTCCCATTCACTGGAACATGATAAATAAAAAGTTCTTCATTTTTTTTACTTTATACTTCAAATAAATTTTAATACTGTCAGTTCAGAACATCAAGAAATGATCACTTCATTCTAAATAGGGATTTGACCTATAGGACCGGGCTTGGTTTTTCTCTCTACAAAAACCTGGTCGATTTTCGTTCTGATTGATGACATTAGGCTGAATATATATAACAATTTGTTTTTCCTAAATCTTCATTTCAGTGAATAGACATAAGAGGAACCCTTTCATTTATTTTCTGAGTTTGTTATCTTCAGAGGTAATAATTGATATTTTTCTTTACTTCTCATTGTGCATATATGTAATGGTAATGTCTACTGTCTCTGAAATTCTATTCTTTATGTCTAGGCTATTTATCCTTGGATATTAAAACATGCCATTAATGTGTGCAAATTATATAGGCCTAAATGAAATCCAAGGAAAACAGTTACTGATATATGTAGCCAATGTGATTAAATTCTAAGGAATATCATCGCAGCTCAATGCTGCTAAGAATACCTGTATCGAGTAACACAAAGTGAGCTATTCTTGTCCTCGGAGAAAGTGTGCTTATATTGTTCCGCCTGACTGACAACTGTACATTGGATTGTTACGATCTGATCTCTCGTTAGTGTTTCTTATATCAAGAATGGGCATGCATAAAGGATAGATAATTGAAAGAAAATGCATAAGTCTAAAAAAAAAAATTAAAATAGTCTTTGAAAAGGCGAAAAATTAAAACTTCAAAAGTGTGGAACCAGGTGGATTCGAACCCCCGACTTTAAAAAGATAGTATCGATAGTGTAAAAGTCAGCACTTATATCAACTGAGCTAGTCTGACTATGAAATTCAATGGCATAAATTTTAAGCAGATTATCAAAATCAGGTTTCCTTATTTTTTGTAGGTTTTTTTGTGAATTTCGACCCTAGGGCAGGGGTGCCCCTAAAAAAATCCTACCTTAAATTATTCTTTACATCCATACCTATCAAAATTTTACAGTTTTATTTAGGGGCAGGCCTGCCCTGAAGGACTTCTAGGCCAAAATACATGCAAAAATCAACGCTTTAATGGACAAAATGGTGTTTTGGCCAACTTTAGAGGTTTATTGTAAATTTGTAAATAATAAATATTAGGTATAAAATACGAATTGGAAAAATTTAGACATATATACGGTAGAAAACAACAAATAAAGATTAATTTTTCAATGTCACTTTTTCCGGGAAATTATTTTCTCCTATAGGTCAATTCTTTTGTCAAAGTGAATACATCCTTTAGCCATTCATGACCATTAGGCAAGATTTAGAAGCATATTTTATTTTTAGCATTAATTGCATGCTCAAAATATACCCACTTTGATTTTCCTGACGTAATCGAATCATTTCATCCTTCATTTTCATCATTTGGTTTTGTAAGTCCCAGTTTTCTTTATTTGAATCATACAACATCTGACATTTAGTTGTCGGTAGAAACATTAAAAATATTTGTATCCAGACAATACAAATCACAGATGGTGACCACTGCATGTTCCTTTAAAAAAAAAAAAAAAAAAAAAAAAAAAAAACAATGGACGTATAATGGTGACAGTGAAGGTCATACGAACAGTATCATAAGTGCAATAAACCAGTTAGTATACAATAAGTATTAGAAAGAGGCCCTCGACACTTTTTAAGAGCAACAAATTTACATATTTGATAATTATCTTAAGTGTCTCTTTTCACTCCTTCCAATTGTTGTGTTGTCACAGTTTGTGTATATAATTTCGAAATCAATGTCTAGTTGAAAAAAAAATGATTTTACACATAAGAACTTTGAATTTGATATGAAAAATATGGAGTTTGTGATTGACATTTGGAGATCAGTTACCTTTATTCATAAGTAGACTCGATCCCAATTAAAGTAAAAAAAGTCTAAGCATCTGTATCGTATTTGAATAAATGCCAAAGGCTTTGTTATATGTTGAAACTTGCTGTTACTCTGTTTTGTGGCTGCTGAAGTTGGGTTCCTGTAAACCAGCCCGAGCTCATTATCAATACCCCCCCCCAATTGTTTGACGCTTTAATAGCCATTCTCAAAGAATACTCTTATTCATGAGTAACTTTCCCAATTGCCCTTTCTGCTCCCAAGCGTATGTCATGCATGTAGTTCAGCAATTGCTGTATTTTACTTGCATGCGCTTCTAGAATAATGCTTGAAATATTAGGAAAGCGCCAGTTCAATTGTCCTTTGAGGAAAATTTTGAAAGTTTATCTATGTTGTGCCATATATCAAATGAAAAAGTAGGTGACTGTGTTATAGTGGTCATTACTAGAAGGGACCCAAAATTGATATATTTCCCATTAATATGTTTTGCCTTGTAGCTTTATCAACAAAATAGCCCGGGGAAAGATGGCTACATGTAGTATTTTTAATAATGGGTTGGTTGGGCAGGTCGCACAAAGTAATAGTGTTAACTGGTCCATCATTGTTAATGACATTGTGTTCATTGTGACTTTTGAGTAACTGTAACTGCAGCTGCAAACAGAGTTTGACCATTTGGAATCAATATTGAGTCCACAGTTAAAGGATCTGACTGAGAATCTGTGGTACTTTAAAATCAGGGAGGTATGGCTCAATATGCGGAATTACGAGGGGTGATCAAAAAGTTAGCGAACTAATTGAATAACTTCCACTAAAGAAACAATATTTGGTTTCAATGTTGAATATATTTTAAATTAATCCTCTCTGATTTTATTGCACATCAACCACCGTTCTGCACATGCGCGAATCACGTGATATTGGCGGTCACGTGACCCCCTCCGTAGCGTTCTGTCACAAAAGTTGAAAGATTTTTCAGAGTTTTATATTTCTTTCCACGTGAGTTAATTTTTATAACAAGATTACTTCATTTGTCAGATATGGTCAAATCTCTTCAACAAAATGGGTGGATAATAATATCCTTTTCAAAAATGAGTATGGCAACCATTAAAACACAAATCTTCTGTCTCGGGAGAAACCTTTATTCAAGGTGGATAGAGAATGGGTGCTTCCTTTTTATCATATCTAATATGTTTAAAATCTAAACTAAACGATATCTTAGGTATTTAATAAGTATATCATTGTTCAAATATTCAACTATTTTTCAAAGTGTAAATTGGAGGTCTTTGATAGCAAATTACTTAATTAAAAACACATCTTTCCAAACTTGCTTTCACTGGACAAGATGACAAGTATCATTTTTAACCATCTGCCTTCCTTCACTAAAACGATCAATCCAATCATTAATTGAATTTATAAGAACTCATTTATCTTAATAAACTGTGTACAAATTATTTTATGATACTGCAGAGAGATTTCTAAGATATATAATAAATTGTACAGTCATTTGTTGATCGAGTTCGACTGAGACAACCATTTTTCGTCACAAGTGACCTAAATAGTGACGTCATTTTCACATTGTGACGTCAAAAACAAGGAGAAAAACTTTATTCAGCATATGTTATTTATAAACCTTGTGTATGGCTATGTGTGCACCGAATTTCATTCTAATATGAATTGTGGTTTTGTAGATAAAGAGATAGTTCGCGAACTTTTTGATCATCCCTCGTATTTACAATAATGACACCCCCCCCCCTTCTAAAAAAGACCTGGATATCTGTATAAACATACACATTTAATTTAAGAGCTATATAAATATGGAACAGACAAGATGATGCATATTTATTAAAATTTAATCCTCCAGGATCAGTCACTGTCGAAATTCACTTACAAATACAGTGGACCTTCAGATATCCAGACGCCAGATATCCAGATGCTTCAGTATCCAAACGATTCATCATCAGAACGGAATTTTTTAAACGTCTTGTTTAATCCGTAGGCTTCACATATCCGGAACAAATTAACTAGGAACTAAAACGTCCAGATAAACAAGCCTCCACTGTATACAATATACATATAAATTTTGAGTTTTATGTGTACTCTTTACTTAACTCTGCAGCTTAAATGCACTAACTTTTAAACACAGTTATAAACCACCGAAATTCTTAAATACATGTCCACTGAATTAAGATTAGGACAAAAAGTAACAAGAAAACATTGATGTAACCATCAATTGTCGCCCGGGAAATATATAAAGTAAACAATGGAAATGAGTCTTGATCATCAAACTGCTTCGATATGTGTGAAAAGGCATGCATCTAATTGATGGAGACGATAGTCGCGAATATTTTGAAAACTTAAAGTCGGATAAAAATCAACCAAAAACGATACCATTTTAAACTTGATCAATTCCTCAAGTAAATGTTGGCTGCATAAAGTATAAATTGAAGTTAGACACATGCACCACCTATATTCAAAAATGTATTAATTTTCAAGTTTAGAATATAGAACACGAACTGTGCAGAGTACGTTTTTATGCGAGAAGTAAAATTCGATGTTCTAAAAAAAGGGACCTGTCATTTTTTCGATAGTAAATGATAAGCCACTTTACATATTAAATATGAAAAACATATATATTTTTACAGATTTACTTTCTGGAAGTAAATATATTATGTATCTCGTAATTTATAAAGGGAAAGAACATTCTGATTAACAATCTTTTCAATGTTTAGAAAACCTTTAATTCTGAATAACTACTCCCACCCCAATCCCCATACACCAACACTTAAACTTATATGTATAGAGCAGCCCGGTCCTCCGGGCTGCAATAATATGTACTCCCCATGTGATGAAAAATTACTCCTATGTCTTCAAAGTCATATCAAGTCTGATAAAACTTCTTAGTTATTTGAATTCACTTTAAGTTCACTCTCTTTTTATGAAATTCTTAAATACACGTTCGATGAATTAAATAAGGGCAATTCGGAATTTATGTAGCCCTTTTATATATGATGAAATATTGCTTCTATGTCTTCACAAATTAAACCACCTCTAATTCAGGGATTGATAAAACGTCTTAGTTCTTTGCATTAAGTTTCATGTTCATTTTCTTTTTCTTTTTCAAGTTGGTACTGCTTTTCCAAATAATCGTCTGCAAATACAATGTAGAAGGGCCTGGTTAAATGCACTTAGTGCTAAAATGTTCATGTTCGTCTGCAGATGCAGTTCCTTTTCGTAGTTCTTGACAGGGAATACATAATTTCTTGGCACCCTCATAATTGATGCAGCTTGATTAACTTCCATCTCAATTTTTTCACTAACAAAGACATTGCTGACGTCATGTTTTACCAGTTCACACAGGAGGTCTATTTTTGTCAGGATTATTAAATGTGGTATACCTAAGTAAAGATTTTTAAAAATATAAAATGCAATGTACATAAATAAATTTAAGATATAATTGGCATTCCTAGACATATCTCACTTCTTCCGTCTTCATTGTTGCACTAAAAAAATTTAAAAGCATAGTGTACTACCTTCAAATATCTAATTATTTTAAGGAAACATGAAAATAATAAAAAAAGAAATCTATTCCAAGAGTATTAAAACATACAAATCATCAAACAAGAGTTGATAGACTAAGTGTCAGGATGTTAATTTATGACTTTTCTTTATACCTCTGTCAGCCACAGTTTCCTTGATCTGCTGGAGTTTGTCAGTAATTCCTTTTGTTAAGGACCCTATTTTGCTCGCATCAATGACGAAACAAGCCACATGAGTTCTTTCTTGCAAGGTTGGATTTTTAACAAACCCCGTTACATGCTCTGACGCATAAGAACATAAATTAAACTGGAAAAGAACAAAAGCAATTTTTATGTGCGGAAAAAAATGCAAAATTTAATGTACTGTTTAGAGTAGTTAATAAGAGTTATCTGTAATCTGACTAATCACTGACATAATTATCTTCCTAGTTTAAAGAAGGTGTTGCAGTTCTTTTGTTATTTTCCCTTAATGTGTAGCAGATTGAAAGAAGATTTTTTATGTTGCAGAAACTCATATTAATTTTTTTCAAGTGCAACAATATATAAAGCACAACGAGAAACACTATTTGGAAGCTGCGTTTTGACTTCCACTTTACCATTAAATGATGTGAAAATTAGTCTCACGGCAAAATACACTGTATATCAGGTTTTCCTTTTTTAAAATAGGGAATCCCCATTGTTCTGAAAAAGCGCCTCTTTGAAACAGAATAATTTTGATATATGCACAAAGAGGCAGAAATTTTTTTCGAAACTGCCATTTCCATTTTTTGTTTCAAAGAGGCACATTTTTGAAAAACCCAAAATTCGATAAAAATGATTCTCCAAATGTAATGGGAAATATAAACATGAAATAACGCTGTAAATCCATCGTCTTCGAAATGGTCTAGTGGATATGCTGGTGGGCCTCCAACTAGTTCTATTATCAGAGAATGGGTTCGAGTCCTGGAATGGATCATTTTTGTATATTTTTTGAATTTTTTTTTTTACACATGTAATGATAGTGCAATGAAATTATATATAGTTTTAAAGAGAGAGGGGGAGAGAATTTCAAGAAATTGAGTAATAACAATATATTAAAAATGCAGGATTAAATTGTTTTTCTTCATATGCTGTGGCTTAAAACTAATACTTTATTCAGTTTTGTCCTGGAAAATAAAGTTACTGTATTGTTTAAATAATATTTTTTTTACATACTGTATTTATTCTAATTTTGAATAATTCTGGTCCTTTAGTTAGTAGCCAGTATTTGAAATATGAAATTTCTTGGATGTAGCACCAATTATGTGATTATGGGACGCAGTTTTATTTCATAAAAATATCCTCGCACGATGTCTACAGTATATCTTTCCAAATGCTGCTTTAACCATTGTGCTTTTTGTTGTTCCAAACTTTTTGTACAACATGACGAAGGTGTTGTGCTGTGTGAAGCAGGAAATACCCGCCGTAAACATAGTCCACTACGTAACTGTATCTATATTTAGACATAACGAGGGTATTGATATGTAGTGAATAATCGCGAATTTCTGCAACACACTCTTTTCAGACAAGCTTGAAAAAATTAAGATTCTGTCTTTCTCATTTACATATTTGAAAACAAATTACTTAGGAATTTTGTTTGTTAAGAGCATAAATTACCGTATACTGATTTGGTAAATTTCCATCCAGCATGTATCCTAAATCTTTGTCATTCATCCATTTACTCAAACTTGTTTGGTTTGTATCTATTCCCACCGTATCACAAATTCTGAACTTCAGATTTTTCTTTTCAGCAGAATCCCGGATTATGTATCTCATAAACTGTAAGTTAAAGGGATGTTTAATTTCAAAGAACGATAAAATATGTTCAAATCAAATCAAAGAACAAGCAGTTTAAAAAAAAAAATTATGTCATAAAATTTAGATGCATAAAGGTAATTCCACCCTCCTATGATGTCATAGGTTTTTGCAAAAACTGTAATTATTTTAAATTCATACCTTATAGAAAAATATCTCTTGGAAGAAAGCTTTACAATAGGTCTAATGATAAATATTGTTTAGTTAAAGAATTTTAAAAATGCATATTTTCTTAATCAATTATTCAATCTTTAAAAAATGTTGACAAGGGCTATAACTCCTTCTAAGGTCTCTTCATTCATGCATTTGCTTTACTGTAAAATAGTTTCCCTGATATTCACAATTCAAAAGTATCTTTTAAGTAAGAAGTATTTAGGAACACTCGGCATCAGAATTATGAATTTTAACCAGTTTTTACAGATTTTTCTCAATACTGTTTACAAAAAATGTACAATTTTTTTTTCTGTTGAAATACACTTACACTTACTTAATTTTTGTACTTTTTGTACTTTGAACCTATAAAATTGTGAGGGTGGACACTCCTTAAGTAGTCCAAAAAAAAAAAACCTTTTCCCTTCTCTCACTTCTGGAGTACATGTATTAGATTCATTTAAAAGCAACATTGATCTCCAAATAACTCTTTGTCCAAATAGATTCCATTTTGTTCTTGTTATTTATTTTTAGCTCACCTGAGCCGAAGGCCCATTCCTGAAGAACTATCACACTAGGAAAGATGACACTTATGTGAAAGCATCATCAGGTAGTGTAGATTTAAGTTTATTCATATCATGACCCCCAGGGGTAGGCGGGGCCACAATGGCCGATCAAAGTTTTAGATAGAAAAATCTTGAAAAATCTTCTTTTCCAGAAACATAGGGTCAGGAAAGATGAAACTCATTTGGAAGCATCCTCAGGTAGTGTACGTAGATTCAAGTTTGTTCAAATCATGACCCCCAGGGGTAGGGCGGGGCCACAATGGCTGATCGAAGTTTTACATAGGAATATACATGTATAGGCAAAAAAATCTTTAAAAATCTTCTCCAAAACCATTGAGCCAACAAAGATGAAACTAATGTGGAAGCATCTTCAGGTAGTGTAGATTCAAGTTATTTCAAATTATGAGTCCCCGGGGGTAGGACAGGGCCACATAAGCCGATCAAAGTTTTACATAGGAATACATAGGAAAAATCATTTTAAAATCATCTTCTCAAGATCAGCAAAACCATTATTGGTGATAATAATATGACATCCTCAGTTAGAGTTAATTCAAGCTTGTTCATGTCATGACCCCTAGGGAGAAGGTGTGGCCATAATAAGCAATCAAATCTTTACATAGAAATATATAGGAAAAATCTTTGAAACTCTTCTTCTCAAGTATGGCAAAATTATACATGTATGTTTTATTTATATAGTGACATTCTCAAGTAAAAAAAATTCAAATCCCTTCTCCCCCAACAAGTAAACTTTTCAATACTGAGCTGATTTGTGTTTCTTAACTAGCCCATGTGCTCAGGTGAGTGGTGTGGCCCATCGGCCTCTTGTTTAATTGTAGGTTTTCATTTTTCTAAATTTTGCTTTGACAGTGCGTTTGCAAATTTTCCAAGGAAAATGGATCGGCTTACTAGTATACCTTAAGTTTATAACATTAAAAATAGCAAAATGGAAATATTGTATGTAAAGTTACATAATTAAATCTAGTGTTTTTTTTTTTTTTTTTTTTTAATTTGTTGCATAGTAAGGGCTTCTCGTTGATCATACTATTGTGTCCTAATAATATTTATTTATTTATTATTTCTTCTCTTTTGATCCTCTCTAATGTTTTTTATGAGTTTATAACGAAAATGGCACGTAGCTAGAAGGAAATCTTATGAAAAACTTCTATTTAAAAATCCGATGTCATGAATATTAAAAGTTATTGTTCGCCTTTTTCGTTCACCTCTGCTATATCGCTATATATATTCAATGAAATACGTGTATGCACTGATTGTAGACAGCAGGCAATCAGTTAGCACATCTCTAAAAGTAGCCTTTAGTTTGGGTCTCAATACTGAAGTATGTGTCACATTAAACTTTTTCTGAGCAAAGATATTGTTTTTTCTTTTAATATTTAAATATTATATTCAATCTACATTCTTAGAAGACTTAATTTCATAAGGAATTTGGATACAAAGGCGATGATAGGAAGATAAATGTATTTGAATTACTATTGATTATATTTTGGTGTAGTTGTTAGATATGATAGAAAATCGATCGGGAAAGGACACAAATTAATAAAATGAATAGATAATTCAGGAGAGTGCTTGCATAAGACAGAAAATTTTTGTACTATATTTTTTTGTTATCCACAAGTATCCTAAAAACGAAAATATTGAAAATATTTTGAATGATACGCAAGTACTTTATTATTGTTCAAGCAAAATGTATTTAATTTATTGTCCATATTCTTAATTGTTGTGAACTAGAAGATTCATAACGGGAGGATAACACCTATTAATATAACTCAGCGATTTTCATAGAGTGAAAGGATAAAGGAGTTGACTGTGTTTCTGATATGAGAAAAGTGTGTTTTTCCTTCTATATATCAAATCATTGATTTTGTGTAAACTCTATCTCTGCAAATGTATGCATTTTTGATCTCTTAAGGTAAGAACAAGTTGCTGTCCTTTAGAAAAGGACTACAATACGTGGACCATATGCATGTGTTTCTAACCGAAATTCATTATAAAAAAATCTAGGTGTAGTGACTATTCATGTAGGTTTGTTCACATTTAATACAATGATCTGCCAACTTGTGACTGATTGCATAGGCGTCGGAACCGGGAGGGGGGGGGGGGGCTTAGCCCCCCTTTTTCTCCAAATATTAACTTAGTATAGACATTGAACATTCTGCGTAGGTTTAGGTGACTGGGAAAAGGAGATTTCCCAATTTTTTTGTTTGTTTGTTGTTTATTTTTTGCTTGTCAGGTTTTTTTGAAGGTATAGTTGTTTTTTTTTTTTTAAACTTAGCCCCCCCCCCCCTTTCAATTTGCTGCCGACGCCATGGATTGTAGTCTCAAAGCAAAATTGTATAATTTTATCTCCGATTTATACGGAAGAAATCTATCATGGTAAAATAGATCTGATGGTTCACGTGTGGCACAGCTCTGAAGTACTCAGATTTTTTGTCAGAGCCCCCCCCAACATTAAAAACCGTTGCTACCGACCTCTATTAGACGGTAATTGGATGATTGAAATATCAAATTATTTTGCGAGCCTTGATGCACAAAATTAATGCCGGTGAAAACTTGTTTTATCTTTTAAAAGCTTTAACTAGTCTTTGATTGACGTTTTTCATTCAAGTTGTTAAGTTACATGTATTGATATACCGCAAGTTCTTCCTACTTTTTGAAATACTTGTGCCATAGAACATGTAGAATCAATAAAAGTATACATATAAGAGAAAAATTCGGATCTGCCCCTAAATATATAGATGCGATATGCACGATTTGCCAATAAATGGCATTGATTCTAATTCGAATAGGGCGAATTATTCTACGGGCAAGTTGCCTAAGGTGCGAACTCTCTACAATCGGCAATCCTCGGCTGACTCCGCTACGCTCCATTCAAACCTCGGATGTGATAGGTGGAGGAATACGCACCAGATCGCTACATTTCTCCGCCGGAAACTGCCTTGTCACTCATTTCATATTTCGCTCTGCCTAGAGTTCTTAGAAAAGGTTTCTTTATTAGTGTAATTCCTCGTGTTAATTCCATTCAAATGTTAGTATTCTTTGAAAGCAAGAACACGGTGTTGGACGTGCATCAAAGTAACTCGGATTTCAAAAGTATAATATTTAAATGAAATTCAAATAAGATCACATGACTGAATCAGCAAGATGGAAGATCACCGTTGACGTCCGAGGTTATGTGCGAGGTACGAGTCATCCGAGGAACTCCGATTGTTATGTGCGAGGTACGAGTCATCCGAGGAACTCCGATTGAACTCTCTAGCATATTCGCGCATGCGTAGCCTGTCGTTTGCCCATGGCATCCTGTTTAGCCTCGCTTAATATTTACTGCGTGGACCGCAGGGTCCGCGCAATAAAATTATCTTTTACTGTGATGTTGTTCCAAGCTATCCTCTTTAAAATTGTATAATTAACTTTATTGTAATTTTGTTTAATGTTAAAAAAAATATACAGACTTACATCTTTTGTAAGGCTTTGATTATTAACTCTACGTCCTGTGCATGCTTTGGATGAAATTTTCCCTTTGAAAATACTGTTAATAGTGTTGACAAAGCTTGATTTTCCAGAGCCACTCTGTCCAATTAGCAGTATATTGGATACCGGGGTTTGTGCGTCTTCAAATGGTTCATAGTTAGATATAAGGGACTTGATTTCAATGGAAAACTGCAAGTAAAATACAATGTATAATGACCCATCATTATAGAAACATCCTGTAAGCATCATCAACTTCACATGTTATTAGGTTATACAAAGCTCTTACAAAAATCTATGGGTACAACCTCGTCTCTATGGCGTTCATCAGCAGTTCTTTCCCGCTATATCTATCCTATTTTTACTGTGGTCCAACTCTTCCTCCGACAGACGTAACTTAAATATATATAAGCCACCTGGGGATAGTTCCTTATTGATGTGATAAATAAGCGTTTGCCATTTTTTCTAAATATATGAAGACTCCGAAGTGCGATGGTGACGCCAAAGTCCGATGGTCTCGTTTCCTATGAGACGCGCTGCGCTAAAGAGCGATGGTCTAGTACGCCAAAGTCCGATGGTGCGGAGGAACTATCAACGTTTATGACGTCACAATAGTCCGACGTCATGACGTTGTCCTGCATTCAAAATCCATTGAGTTAGTATTCGTCTTACATACGATTGTTTTGTACATACTGATTTGTTTATTGTTTTCGCCTACCGGAGCTATTAGGGTTAGTCCTCGTACACCATTCGACTGATAAGAGTTAGTCCTTGCACACTAATTGATGAGTTTCTTCGAACCATAGATATTTTAGGGTTAGTCCTCGTACACTATTGGACTGATTAGGGTTAGTTCTGCACCCACCCAAGATATTTGGTTTACAGTTGTTACACATTTTTCGACTGATAAGAGTTAGTATCGCACCTATATCGAAAAGATGAGGGTTTGTGTTTGTATTTATGATATTTTGTATTTATCTAAAACAATCGGTCTTTGGCATGGAGCGGCATTGCAATTTGGTACAACAGTCCCATGACGTCATAAACGTTAACTGTTTTCCACACCATCGGACTTTGGCGTGTCAAACCATCGGGGTTTGGCGCAGACCATCAAACTTTGACGTGACCATCAAACTTTGGAGTCCTACATATATTAAAATGTAAAAATTTGATGGCCATTTGCAACCTGACCACTAACCCCAGGGATAATGATTTAAACTGTGACAAACTTCAATCTACACTACCTGAGGATGCCTTCATTTAATGCCCTGTTCACACGCAGAATTTGATTCAATTTAAACAGAAGTTACTGCAAATTACATTTGATTCGCGTCGACAGGGAGAATTTAATGCAAATGAGTTTAATTTGAATTAATTTACTGCGCTACAAAATACCAGGTACTTCGCATTATAGCTCCATGTAAATTGAATCTAATTTCAAAAATGATGCATGCATATATTTAGTCACCTATCACATGTCAGTTGTCAGATATCAGTACTTATGGTATTTAATAGTGAAATCAAAGAAAAAATTAAGATTATCACTAAACATCTGTATTAAAAATACGATGAAACATATGGAGATAACGTACAATATTCATGGTCAAATGTAAAAAAAAAATACAATACAAAATAGGAGCAGAGCAAACACGCGGACCTCCAAAACATCAGAGGTGGGATCAGGTGCCATGAATAGAGCATCCCTTGCCGACCCTCCGTGTGCGCCTTGTCATGACCGGGAAATAACAGAAAAATCCGTCGTCAATTCAGTGTATAAATAATGAACTGACAACGAGTATGAAATACGTGAGATAGCATTTGACTCAATGACGAATTCTATTTGCTGACAAGGTCATCGTATCGAGCATAGAATTTACGAAATGACGACTTTAAACGAGACTGCTGAAATTTTTGTTTCATCAACTTGTTTGTCAATAATTTACCTCATTTTAGATTGTTTATATGTAGAGCATGCTCTTGCATATCGAATCAATTGAAATATACAAACTCCGTATGTAGGTGATGAATGTATATTGCTGCATAAGTACATTGTAAGGGAAGATGACGATAGAAAAGTTCAAGTCATCACGTTTATCATAGAGCTTGGTTGTTAGATTACCATTAAAGTCTTATCAAGTGAAGTATCCAAATGTTACATAATGTTTTTTAAATGAAGCTTGGTCTTACATTTAATCAAACGGCATTCATTTGAAAATGAAGTGATATAATATTTAGAAAAGTCCATCTTAGCTAAAACCGATTTTAAATTTCATGTAATGAATGAAAAGCTCAGTGAAATATGTAAATCTAAATTCAAGATGAAAATTCGGTTATGCGTAACCTACTCTTACTTAAGAGACAGATAAATTGCATTATATTTCAGAAACAATTTACTATAAATTATCAAAATTATTTTTCTGACAAAATTTGAATCTTTCAAAAAAATATATATATATAAACCAGTGCAAGACAAAAATTACGGCTTACACTGATATTTGATTTCTGTTCTGGTGTTTTACCGGTTTTCTTATTAACTTTTAAAAAACTATTGGGAAACCAAGAAAAAGGCTATATTATTGTTTTTAAACAATATTTTTTTCGAAAAATTGTACCTGCGAATTCCATTGTGGTTGTTCTCTCCATGGTTTATCAAGGGTCCCTGTTTAAAAATTGTTAGTTCACAGAAATAATATAAAAAGTTAAAAACTGTGTCCATTTGTGAAATTTTATCAATATCAGAACCTAAAGCGAATGTAATTTATGTCTCTGATTTAATATACTCTTTTTTTTCGAATTTTAGCATGACTAATTGATTTTTTTTTCATATAAAATACGAAAGTACGAACTACAATCAATAAAAAATCTAATATATCAACATCTATTGATAATTTTTATTTAAAAAAAAAGTTTCACAATCTTCTTCAGAATTTCAATTAAAGGAATCTAAATTTTTGTTTTTACCTTTGACAAGATAAACTTCAAGGTCCACGACATTGTTGTGGCTATTGGCGATTGTCTGCGCATTCTCTCCTTCCACATCATAACGACTACCTCGAAATAAATCGTTACTATCTAACACGTAGAACCTCGATGTTTTTCTAACATCGAGTTGAAAAGAATGCAAATCATAGAACCATGGACCATGGTCACTGCTCCCCCAAAAATTATTTCCTTGGGCCACGATGGGGAAAAACTTTTTAGCTCTCCATTTGCCTCTTTGGTATAACTGAAACAAAAACGAATTTACATCTTTACTCCATGTATTACTTTGGTGCCAACTTTCAAACAGATACCCCCGTAAACGTTGTTGTCTGTGTTGTAGAAGACAGTCACTGTGGGTCCTTTGTTATCACATAGTGAGTGGAACTCGTGTCCCGAAGCTCCATCTCTCGAAATTTTATACAGAAGTTGAAAGGAACATTCTGTACCAATCCACTCGGAGAGCTGTTCACGGTCCTTGCGTTTTAGTAAGCTAGCCATAGATAAATCTAAAACAAGTAAATTAAGAACATCGAACCAGTTTAATGACCATAAAGATGTCCAATGAAAGCTGGAATGCTATTTCTGAGATTTTCAATGGTTGTTTTACTTAGAGTCCTTTATATGCATTCAGACAAGAAATCTTTTGATAAAACATGATGTAATGGAAGTATACACATCGTTTCCCTATATTTACAATCAATTTAAATTCTTTCAACCACGGAAGTATGAAAATCTGACGGAATTTGTGTTTTGAAATATGGATAGTGATAATGAATAAAACCAAGAAGGAGATAAATAGTTTATTAACATCCAACACCTGCAAAATTATCAATTATATTGAAATATCTAATTAAAAAAGAAGTACTAGTAATGAAAAATAAAACAACAACACTAGAAAGGTATTATATGAAGCAGATTGAAGTAGCTTGTGCAGAGAAATTAACAGAAATTCATTTTTCCGAATGATATTTTACTTTTTCCTACCTTTTGTGTCGATAAATTAAATCTTTGTTAAATGTAAATTAGAGAAAAAATAAATCATTTACTTTCACTTTAAATAACTGGAAATGCAGCGTCGAAAAAAATCAGTAAACTTTATCTTTAAATACCAAAATTGCTAAGTCTTCATAGAAGCACTAGGTCACGTGAATAAACGGAAAACAGGTGAATATCGAACGTCGCAGCTGTCTTCTGTGTAAAGATCATTATATGCTGATACTTTAAGACTTTCTGCTGAAACTTTATCAGGCTTCACCATTATGTAAACGGTCTTTACGAGTACATCAACGACATGACAATATGGTTTTTGTAGTGTGCAGATTGAACTTCTTTTGCAGAGAAACGAAACTGGGGTGATTCATTTTATGACTGAAAATTTTGTGCAAGCACATGCATTCATGTAGCATTTGCTTCCGAAAAATATCCCCAAAAATTGCCCCTATTTCCTTGTCAGTTGGAAAAAAGATTTGCGCCAAAACGGTTATCTTCTCTATTTAAGAAACTGTCAAATAATTCAAATGGTGGAGGAAGTCTGGAAGATTCCATTCCTAGATTCAAGATTAACTACAAGAGGCTAGATGATTTAGGAGCTACATGAGATGTAATACCATGGTCTCTCATTTAAAACAAGAGGCCCATGGGCCACATCGCTCACCTGAGAAGCTTTGACCATTCTGTTCTTTACCAGATTTCCTCCTTTTAATACATATTGCAACCTCACCCTACCCAACTGATCATAATTTAGACATTTTGAAATTCACACTACCCCAGGATGCTTCCACATAAGTTTCAGCTTTTTTGACCCAGTGGCTCTTGAGAAGTAGATTTTCAATGATTTTTCCTATATATTTCTATGTAAAACTTTGATTCCCCATTGTGGCCCCGCCCTTCCCCCGGGGGTCATGATTTGAACAATTTAGAATCTACACTATCCTAGGATGCTTCCACCAAAGTTTCAGCTTTTTTGGCCCAGTGGTTCTTGAGAAGAAGATTTTCAAAGAGTTTTCCTATATAGTTCTATGTAAAAGTTTAATTCCCCATTGTGGCCCCGCCCTACCCCCAAGGGTCATGATTTGAACAATTTAGAATCCACACTACCCCAGGATGCTTCCACGTAAGTTTCAGCTTTTCTTGCCCAGTGGTTCTTAAGGAGAAGATTTTCAAAGATTTTTCCTATATAACTCTATGTAAAACTTTGATTCCCCATTGTG